GGTGGTTCACACCAGATGTAGATGCGGCCATCCGTGCCAAGGGACAAGGCAGCAGAGAAAGAAAGAAAGAAAAAGGAAATGGTGCGTGCTCTCAATCTCAAAATTTGGTTATCACCGAAATAGTTCAAGGCATAAACCTTGGCCCATTGGCATGACTGTGATATATGCAATTCCGGGGGAGTGCTCTGGCATTTACTTATCAGAAAAGAGTCCAAATGAGTTGGTGACAACGCCAGCGGTATGGGGCTCTCATTATCGCGCCTGGTTGTAAAAGCCTTCTCTAGTCCAGAGTGCAATTCTGAGAAGACACACTAGATGAATGCGCCTTGATGCTTCAGTGTTCTCTGAAATGCCATGACAATTGTGACCAGTGCTCACCAATACAAATACCAAAAACTTCAACAACAACAAAACTTTTTCCCAGCAATTCAAGGCCCGAAAGACAGCTCTATGAATGACGACCCTAGGCATCTTCCCCAATGTGGTATCATGCATTTGGTAATATTTTCTATAAGTTGCATTACAACCGTTGTAGCTTCGGACGGTCGTTTGGCTGCTCCATTGGCAGCCTAAAGCATTGCGCCTTTGCCCCGCTCCAGGCCATGTTCTTGCAGTATCTACAAAATTAATGTAGTAGTAGTGAAGAACTAGAAGGTAACAGAGTTAGCGCAGCTGATCAACTACATGCACAGCAATATAGGGGCAGTGGAAGCAGCACTTCAAGTATGCTCCGTTACTGAAATGGACGTGACTCTTCCTGCATGTACAGAATACCAGCTAGATGCGAGTCACATCAATTCAAAGGCAGCATGGGTACAAAATGCACTGCTGCAATTAGAGTTCTTCAACTCGTACACCAGGGGAAGGATGTTTTTTTAAAATGCATCCACGCCCAGGACTGATGCCGTGCGGAAACGACTCTGGTAAGAACAACAACGCACAGTATAGACACGGTCAGAGATCAGCTTACAATGACGAGCCTAATATTCAGTCGGCTGTATTTAAAAAATTGCATGCACCTGTACTCTCAGAAGCTCGAAAAATGCAATCTTAATTAAAGGGGACAAGAGAATGTAGCCACTCAGCGCAGCTCTCCAGTTTGACACCAGTCAAGTGCATTCTCCAGTTAGACACCAGTCAAGTGCATGGATCTCCAGTTAGACACCAGTCAAGTGCATGGATAATCTCCAGTTAGACACCAGTCAAGTGCACTCAGCGCAAGTCAAGCGCACTCAGCGCAAGTCAAGCGCACTCAGCGCAGCTCTCCAGTTAGACACCAGTCAAGTGCACTCAGCGCAGCTCTCCAGTTAGACACCAGTCAAGTGCACTCAGCGCAAGTCAAGTGCACTCAGCGCAGTTCTCCAGTTAGACACCAGTCAAGTGCATGGATAATTTCCAGTTAGACACCAGTCAAGTACATGGATAATCCAAAGAAGGAGTATGGCCACTATCGATAGTAGCCATCATGCAAGTATGGCCAATGCCGAGTGGGCAAGGCCACCACCACCATGAAATGAGCAGTTAAGTACTTCGCGGCACAAGAAGTGTTGGCCTTCCATGGGACACGACTTGCGTCTGACAGCGCCAAAATGTCAACATCAGGATCAGAAGTACAACCGCACAATTGTACAAACCGGAATGCAACAGAAGAATAGGATTTGTTGAGGTTTTGAAACCAGGTGCGGGGTTGCAACCGTATAAAGTGACTACGCTCTGATGTGAGCTAGCGACAGTAGAGAGGTTCCGCATAACGTAATTACGTTAGTAAAAAACGTAGTCGATCTACGGAAAGTCTTACGTAAACTGCATGCGCATCTGTGTTCCGCCATACGGAGTTTTCAAATCACGTAGCTGCCCTTGGCAACTCCGAACGTGGCAGTGTACGACCAAATCGACCTGGGGAGAGAGTCATAAATTTGTACAATCCACTTACGGACCAGCTACGTTATCAGAGCCCTATCTACGTACTCTACGTAGACAACTTTCCGTAAGTGGAGTGCAAACTCGCGAATTCACGGGTTTTCCCCGCCCACTAACGTAAAGTTGCTCAACTTTACGTAGTGCGGAACCTCTCTAGTGTCCTACAGTGATCAACGTTTGGACGTCACCAATTTGAGAATTTTCGAAAGCAATATATCCCATCATAACTTTCTCCATGTGCAACGCGATCAAGCTGAGCTTCGATCAGCTAGAATTTCATATCATTTGCTTAATCTGTGAGTAGGTCAAAACTATGTTAATATAGAAGGTGAATTGATAGATCTCATCGCGTGCTAATCATTGGTACGGCACGCAGTTGGCCAGCTTTTGGTCTTGTTCATGACACGGTGACCCAGTGTTATGAGAACAATTCACAACCATTTGAGAAGAAAGAAAAGCTGGCTTTGAAGAAGGTGAAGGTAGCGCCCAAATCCAGCCTTTCACGGACCTCACTGATTGCCTCGTGCCGATCAACGTGGAACATTGCAAGGGCCCCTGCGTTCCGTTTCGAATGAGATAG